CTTTTCAAATTTTTAAAGTTACTAAACAAAACTTTAATAAACCTTAGGCCAGTCTAAAGTAAATTTTCCCAAGGGTTATTTTCTTTATAGTTATTTCTTTTTAAATAATTGTATTGAGTATCGGAAAAAACCATTAAAAAACTCTGAATCTCTACTTTCGAATTCTCTTTGCTGATTAAAATTATCATTTTTGTTATCAATGCAATTAACAAAAAAAGTTTTGCAAGAAGACAAAAATATTCCATTTTGTCGAATTCTTCTTTTTTTGTTAATTAATAAAAAAATGATAATTCTAATCAGCAAAAAGCATTCAGAAGTAGAAATTTAGTTTTTAAATGCTTTTTTCAATATTCAATAAAATTATTTATTGCAAAGTTACGATCACTTGAAATTTGCCTTATTTTTTTGACGAAAAACAATGTCCTAATTATTTTGTGAGTAGTGTGTAAAACATTATTTTTCTTAAACAACAAAATTTAAAAATAAAAAGACATAGAAAAGCAAAGAAAATTTAGATTAATAATAGTTTAAAAAAAAAAAAACAAGTTGCAAAGTTGATATTTTCGAAGTCCAAAAATTTTCAGAATTTCTTAATGCATTAACTTGAATGTGTATTTATAATAGTTTTACCACATATTGCAATACAAGTTTAAAATCATAACTTAATCAACTACATTAACATAATGAGAAAATATTTGTAGTTACTTACGCAATTCTACCGCTATTGTGGTTGCAATTACTGCAAAATAGAAAATAGCTATTGTCTTCATTGTCTTCAAATTTTATCTTCCACTTATGACTTATAGTGATAAACGTCAAGCAGATTTGATTGACAAAAATGTCTGGTTAAATCCAAACTGTGCGTCTGGCGTATAAGGTCGTATATTTAAATACTGCTTTCCCCACCAATCACTGGTCAGTCAGTAGTCAAATTAGCGGCCATACTGTATTAGTGCATGTGTAATGAGATATTAATAGAAAGAGGAAAAATGAAAAAATTAGTTACCGATATGTCATATGTACATTAAAATAATTGATTGTAGTGATTTGATCACTCAAATAACTCGCATTCGAATGTATATAAGATTACTATTTATTATATGATCTTGCTTATATTAGAATTATGCAAATATTACTTTTTTTTTAATAATTTATTTATTGATTTAATCTCGTATTCCATGTATCTTTGCGACTCGATATAAACCGTAAATTTATCTCCTAAAATTTGTTTTACGAGAGTCAGATTGTGAATTGTTTTTTACGTGGCAAAACCAAATTTTTTATGACGGTCCAATCTAGGAGTTTTACCTAATTTTTTAGAGATGTAAAAAACAGTAGACATATTAAAAATAAAATTTAAAATAATTTTTAAATAAACATTTAAATACACTACCGTTCAAAAGTTTAAGAGCAGCCAATTGCATTTTAGGAATACAGAAAATTTATGTTAAAAAACCTCTTACAGAAATCTATAATATCAGAAATGTAACTATATATATATTATATATATATATATATATATATATATATATATATCGATTTCGATTGCTATATATACGTGATTTTGTTATTTATTATAGCTATATCATTATCAAATTTATAAGCTATCGATAAATTAAAAAAATGGACTTTTGTATTGTATATCAATGAAAATTAAATTATTCATGCCTATATTACTTAAAACTTTTGAATATGTGTTAAAATATTTATATTTGCATTTTTGCATTTTATCATATTCATGTTCGTTTCTAAATTTTTTATGGATTTAATGATTTGAAACAGATAATCAATGTATGTACAAATATTTTTGCACAATGTTAATAATTTGCGGTTATTAAAATAAATTAAAATAAGTTAAATTAATTAGAATAAACTAGAAATATATATATTAGCGAAGCAAAATAAAATTTCGATTATATATTCTAAACTTTTTATGTTTAACATATATAAATTAAAGATTTCAAGATAAAATTTTCAAATCAATATTTAAAGAATAGAGAACACAAGTAGGAATGTAGTTATATTATGTTATCATTTTATTATAAATAAAGTACTGATATAAAATCAGCGAATATACTTTTGTATAAATTATATTTACATATACTATAAAAAATTATGCAAAAAAATTACGACACAATTAATATTAAAATTCTCTACCTTAAGGAATTTGTTTCTGATACTTGAGCGCCAAACTATTTAGTAACGGCCGAGTCTTCAAAATTCCAAGATCGATAGCATGACCAGTGAGAGGACAGCTTTGACATCGTTTACGTCTATAACTCGTATTGCAGACTTTTTTTTCTTGACGTATCACATATCTGGGAAAGCAATGGATGCGCTTTTTTTGTGTTGTCGCGCATGGCGGCATCGTTACCACTAAATCCTGTCTATGAATCCTGCCTATCGGTTCTGGAAACAGTCGCTCGTTGAGGAAATACTGTTGCAACGATCCTGACGATCTGGACGATGCCAACGTGTAGTTCGAGCCATGCGTCTCAAAGTAATTCTGTTCTCGGAACTTTCTTAAGTCTTCAACCTCCTGGTTTACGGTATCGTCAACTGCGGAACCATCATCATGCTTCGAGCATCGATCTCTTCGATCGTAATATTCTGATAATTTATGTTTTCCAACACGTTTAGTTTCTTTCTCCAGTTCATTCATGCAGCGACAAGGATAATCTTGCTTGAGCAATTGCATTGCTTTTTTATTTTGTATAGGCGATTTTGATCTTTGGCTCGACTCTAATATTTGCTGATATTTCCTAGATCTGATAGTCTTTCGTAATGTTGATTTTGACAATTTTTGTGCAGATGCCTGAGCCCTTCTATTAAAAACACAGGTGACATTGTCGCGGTCGGAATCATGTTGTTCACTTGCTAATGAATTTGCTGGCACTGTTGGGGAATTTGGAGATTTTTGTTTCTCATCAACATGTTTACGCTCGTTTGGCAATGTTAATTTCTCATTAGAAATATCTTGCAGCCTCGCATTTGTTATAAATCTGCAATAATTAGACAATCCTGGACACGTTTGCACGCAGTCTCCTTGACCTCCAGTCCGTAATTCGCAAACTTTATTCTGCACATTGCGAAGAAATTGAGATCTAGGAGTATAGTCAATTTTCTGAACTCTTCTAAATGTTTCACAACTAATCGGCGAAGTTAATGTTGTTTTATCATCAGTTTCTTTGATAGGTTTGAACTCAAACAGACTTCTGCAATTACAGCAAGGTAATGTGGGCTTATGCAAAGTTCTTGATGATCTTAGATGCATTTCGTTCACTTTGGAATAACAGTAACAATCTTTTACTGGCTTTCTAGATATAATTCTTGAGCATTCCTCTTTGGGTTTTCTAGATGTTAATGTTAACTTTGCAGAAGATATCATATTTGGTGCTGATGTGGTTGCACGTTGTGGATCACAAAAGTCTGGACATAAAACAGCACTGATTTCACTGGAATCGTTACGTAATTTCCATATATCACTGTTTTTTCTTAAATAACAATCTTGACTTTTATGATTATGGTAATTTATTAAAGATCTGTAAAAAATATTCAAATACTTAATGAATAATATAATAAATTGTTTATTTATAGACAAAGATACTTACAATGTTTGTGAACGCAACTTTTTTACCTCAGCATTGACTCTTTTGGAATTTTCATCAACATGTGCCAATAATGTTCGGCTTTTTTTGCGCAACTTTTTTATGCTGTCATTAAGCGTTTCTGCCATACGTTTCCAAAGCTTGGAATATATTGTCAAAAATTATTTACATTGCAAAATATTTATTTGTTTCAATTATATTACTCTTAACCCTTAAATAAAATATTTTTATTAAATATTTTAATAAATATTTTTCTATGTCTTCTTTCAAAAAGTTTATTATAGACATTATTATTTAGTGCGATATTTCTATTTAATCTTATTTTATTTAATATCTATTAAAAAGTGTAACTATTATTTATAAAATAAGCTTACCAATAATAAAATAATTATAATGTCTTTATTTGTTCTTTTTTCTTCGTGATTTCATCAATAATATATTTTATATGTAGTTTAAAACTTTTAATGTGTTATTTGCTATGGACATGGAGCAGTTGAAATCCGACAAATGTACACTGTAAACAAAAAGGACGCTTCAGGCTGTCCAACTCTTGAAAATAATATTTTCTATGTATTAGGGACATTTGATTTAAGAAATAAATTATTGTCTAAAAATTATAATTATCACATCAAAATTATAATATACAAATTCGCTCAAACTGCTAAAATTTATATATACATATTTTATGTTATCTACAGTACCAAAAATTCGCTTATACATCCTTATATATGATAGCTTTGTAGTATTTCAGTAGCTCACGCTTCAAGACGTCAATTCTAGAGAAGTTTTCTTTTTCGCAAGAATTAAGTTGGTAGAGTGCTTCTGATCTGTGTGTATTACTTGATTGCTGTACGGCAGTACCATCACAGGTTAGAAGGTTAGAAATTTGTGATTGTAATCCGATTTCTTCAAGTTCTACGCACCATTATGGATATTTCTGAGAATCAAACTACCATTGATGATATACCCGGTCGCTCGCTGCCGCAATTTTCAGAATATCTCAAAAATCCGATTCGTAGCAGCAGGATGTCATCTAACATTTGGGCTGAATCTAAGGAATTGCAATCAGTGCCCAATTTCATTTCCACGAACGCTGCTTTGAATGCAAAAATAGAATCAGAGGTAATTAAAGTCAAGCTTTTATTATTCTTGTGTTATATTCTTTGCTTTTCTTCTTTTTCTCGCTGATATCGTTTATTTTATTATGCACCTGATAATTTTGATCATTATTTTCTCTTCAGGTAAAAAAAAGTACACCAAATTTTTGTGAACATTTTTTAAAGGAATTTGAGAGGACCAGCAACCTAATCATTCCGAGTTTTGTTAAAAATAATACAGTATTTGGTGTAGAGTCAGATTCTGCTCCATCAAGTGATAATTTATTACTTTTATCACGAGCAGAACTTGTATTTCTTAATAATAGTTTTGGTAACGAAAAAGAAATGAGGGAAAAGTTGGAATTGCTTCATAAACGGAAAACCGCTTATAAAGTATGTATTATATTTATTAGATTTAGTATTAAGTATATTATATAATGCATGATATAGTAAATATATATTTATTTATTTCTATTATAGAAATTTCAAATTCAGCCAACAACAGCCACAACATCTTCAACTCAAATGACTGAGCTTTTGCAGCAATTACAAACTTCAAATCTGCAACAATTGGTCAAGCATTTAGAGCATATAGAGCAAACGAAAAAGGATGCCACACAAGCAGAGACAAATGAACTAGCACAAAAACATAATATTTTAAATATACCATATATATTCAAAAAGCAACTGCAAAGTGCCAACGATTTCATAAACTCGGATCGGATTACGACTAATTTGAGCGATCTGAACGTACATATAGAGACTGAGCAAGAAAATGAGAGCAATTTGCAAACCGTCCTCAAAATCGAACAGCAAGTACAAACTGATTTTCCAAAAGCCGAGAAGAAATCGAAGTTTCGAGCAAAACTTGGTGAAGTCAAAGTCAGCATTGACTGTAATGGAGTTACACATTACTATTGTCCAGAATGTAGTTTAGAGTTTCCAAACAAAGATGATATCGAGCAACACATACAAGGTCACTTATTGGTATGTGCTGCATTACTCTTATTGCACTACTCTGTCTAGTTTTTGATAGTTATAAATTATTATAATATACATACATACATATGTATATATATTAAAAATTTTAAATTATTGCAGGAACGAAAGTACCAATGCAAAGAATGTGGTGCCATGTTGAAGAGAAAGGAACATCTCGATCAACATATGCGCGGTCATTCAGATGAACGTCCCTACAAATGCCATATATGCCTAAGGGCGTTTAAGAGAAACGAGCATCTTACAAGGCACTGTGTCATTCATTCTGGCAATAAAGATTTTTTGTGTAATATATGTCAGAAAGCGTTCTCACGCAAGGACCACCTGCGCAAACACGAGCAAACTCATTCAAGCAACCGGAAGAATAAACAGAAGGAGGAAGGATCTTATTATCTCGATCCAAAAGATGCCCTAATATTCGGTAAGAATGTTGATCCTGTGGCAATTTCCAATCAGGAGATAAACTGTATTCTAAAAGATAAAAGTTTGGAGAGCTTCAAACCAGGAACTACTTTTTTACAACATCTTCAAAATCTTCAGAATAATTCCAATATCTTTCACACTTTTACCTCCATGAATGAGCAAGTAATGAAAGATGCAGATATACTTCAACAAGCACAGTCTGTTAATATAAACGACATCTTAACTCAAAATACAAAATATATACCACAGTTTTAGTCGTATAATAAAGATAGTTCATGCGCGGCGGAGTCACCGCAAATAGATAATTGCAATTTTTGGCAACAGAACTGGCTATGATTATTCTAGCCTTCTAAATTACAGGCAATTTTAATACGAAAGGCATACAAGGACATAAATTTCAAAATGCGTACAACGGTAAAGATCATATGTCGTTTGATGTTAAACTTGCACGTTTAACACGACAAAATCCGAAATAGTTAATTATGTGCTAAGTATGAGAGAAATTGTAGTTACCTGAATCTATCATCTTTCTTAAACAAATGATTCGTCGTTCTTTCCGTCACAATTTTACATGTTAAAGGCTGATTTTTATAGTTTCAAGACGATACTGTCATTACTATCTAAAAGCATAACAAAAATATTTATTTGATAAAATTTTGCATTAAAGTACGATGATAGATCTCTTTCATAGAATTTGTGATAATTACGATAAATCATATTTCTTTTTAAAAAAGCGAATAATTGTTAACATTAAATGGTACATTATCATCGTAGCTTTTAAATACTAAAGATATAAATTATATTTCACAAGATTGTTGGAATATAAGTTATATTCCAAGATTCTCTAAGAAAAAGGTTTTTATTGCGTTCTACATGAAATAATTATTTTAAATTATGAATACAGAATCGATGGAAAGAATTAATATGTGAAGAGAAGTTAATCAACTGAATGTTTGTTGATTTGACTTGTAAGTTAAGAGACAGTTATTTTTTAACGATGCTAGTCCATTATCATTACATTTAATTTTGACCATCGCAGAGCTTACAATATATCCAACTGTTTCTGAGGCATAAATACAGCATATTTACACCAAAATTGCATAAATAATTAAGCTTGTAACAATTAATAGCTGTTTTGCTAAAACACAAAGTTCCAAGATCCAGTTTGCTATTAGAATATTGTGTCTCTATAATTAGTACTATAATTATTCTATGGTCTAAAAGTTCGATAGTTTGTCTCACACTATATCACATTTTCTATTATTTTGTGTTGCGTTTCTTTTTAATCTTAACTAGAAAATGTAAAAATACAATTGACAAGATCATCATTTGTCAACGTCAAATATGTGGAAAGATGATAAGAGCATGGCGCTCGCGAATGTAGCATTTTTAAATAAATTAGTATACTAATTATAAGTAGAAGTATGAAATTTGTTACGGGAGTCAAAGTACTATTAGTGGCACTATCAATTTCACTATTGTGCGATGTACCGCGACTGAAGGCGCGAGCTTGAGACAATCGACTTTAAGCGCTTCTTATTTGAAAAAATTTGCAGCCTCGATATTTAGGATTTTCAAGTAATCTCAGGAATCTGCCACTAACGATTATCACAAGATCTTACAATCTTATAATAATTCAAGATTGATATTTTTATATGTGAGAAAACATTGTGTCGATTTACATACGTTAAGCATATGTTTTCTCGAACGACTTACTTTGATCCGTCGATCACAAACCATCTCATACTTGCACCTATCATCTTTCATTTTTTCTAAATACGTCGTTCGCTATTTTTTTCACGTTGTTATCTCATTTTTATTTTTAAAGGCTGATTTTTATGGTTGCAAATAAATATAGTTGCAGGTCGGTACTTAAAAATATAACAAGTGTTTGATAAAATTTTACATCTATATAAATATAATGGTCGATCTCTTTCGTTAAATTTATTTAATGTCGGTTATCAACATTGAACGAAAGTTATTAATAATTAATCATTATTAAAGAAAGATTTAAACGGATTAAATATTTCAAGTATTTGTTTGTACTTGGGATTATTTTTAGGATACTCGCCTGCTCAATGTTCTAATTTTAGTTTGTAATTTTTTTTAATTTTATTATATTTTTCTTTTATGATGTATTTAGTATTAAATAGGAAAGCGGGAGATCGTTAAAAGATTTCCACACATGATGTATTTGTGAGGATCGATATTAGATTCCTTTAATATTACCTTATATAATGTATGTCGCATATATGCACGAATTTTTATATCCGTGCATGAATGCGTTAGATATAAGAACTAGGGGACGATATTGACACACGGAATTTTGTCTTACGTAATAATACAACCAAAGACTTCACACCCGCGTGTACGAAATGGTATTTTAGGTCATTTGC